CGTTATTTGTATTGCTACGTGTTGTTTGTTTTTGTAAATTATCAAGTAGTTCTGCTTACGGAATAGGTTTTCAGTTCTATGCGAATTATTGTACCCTTGACTGTTTAAATTGGTCTGACCATCTGAGCAAAAGAGAATGAGTAGACATCTCCTAAATGAACATAATCGACCGACGATAATGAGAATACCGTTATGAATTTCGGCGATATATTATCTATCAAAGTAAATGAAACAAGGATGGTGTGTTGGTCGTATTAATCCTGTGCTATGTAAATTTATTTAGGACAAAGCCTTTGCCTAAACTAGCCAAATAAATATGAAATAAGATAGAGATAAAATGCATCTTAGTTTTGTTGTTTTGGCGGTTACTGAGAGGGGCGAACATACGACTGATTGCCACTCAGCCACTAGAAGTATTGTATCTTGTGTTGCGCAAACGACGATTTCCTGTTTTAAGATGTCAATGGAATGGACGTGTGCATTTTATCCTCTTATATACTTATTGTGTTGGTACTGATGTGTTGAACATTGGTGTTTAAGGAATTATCATGAAACATCTAAGCACCACTGTAAGAATAGATTACAGAAGCAAAAGAAAACTTCTAATTGGTTTCATTAACTTTTCCAATAGGTAAAAAGGTATTATGAAACGAGAAATGTACTAGCGGAATTGAATAGGGATGAAAACAAAAGGCGAGTTAGGGTTGCCAGAACTCGGGTTGAAAACCTAGTAGTGTTGTGAAAGTTTTTGTTTTGCCCGAAACTTTAATTTTACGGTGGACTTTTGAAACTTCTTGAGTTTTACTTTGTTGGGAAAACATATGAATGTACCACCAGAAGTTGTTATACGGCCCTACAATTATATAAGAATTGTGCGCTTGTCAGCAGAAATGTGCTTGTAAGTTCAGCGGCTGTGCCTATGGGCTTATTTGATATTTCCGGTCGTAATAGGTTAAAGATTACCAGTTTAAGAAATTTAATCAATAAATAAGTATTTACTCGGGTTTCGCACCCACAACATCGTTATTGATTCTGATACAGGTCCTAGGTACTAGACATGACGTCAAACTTATAAAAAGTTTAACGTAATGTCTGGTACCTAGGATTTGTGTATTTTTATTTAGCTTTAAGTAAATTATCAACGTTAAAATTATATTCTAATAAAACCTTCAATTTTAACATATTTTTTCCAGTTTAATAATATGCCATATTATTTAATGATCAAATCTATACATCTATACTTTGTACATGATAATAAAATTGAATTGTCTGTATGCAATATAGAGAAAAAAAACACAATTCGTTCATATGTCTGCAAGGCCGCGTTCGGACTGCGTAGTCTCCGGAACGTCTGGACCGATTTAGACTGGAAGGTACCTTATGCACGCGGGCATATTATAGCTTATTTTTTATATCTTTCACTCACGAAGTCGCCGGCGACGGCTAGTAATTATAAAAGAAAATATTATCGAAGTTTAAAAAGTCAAAATACATAATATTGTAATCATTATCGTTAGACATTCTGCCGTAGGAACTAGATTCATTAGTTGAATCTTCTTTAGATAGAATTTTAAGTCCACTTTTTACTAACACTAGATATAGGAAAATCGATAAACCATTATTCGATGGCTTAGGATTGTTATAATAAAAAATGCTAATTGCGGGCTGTGAATATTTATGTCGTGTCAAAGTTGGAACTTGCAGTGGTCGACACTGGCGTCACACTTTCCCTTCTCGTTTGAAACCAATGCTAAATTATTCAAACCATGTAGCCGTTTTTAGACTTTAGTCTATTAAAAATTTAACACAACGTCGGTTCCGTTATGTCTTAAAGTTTAATTTTTTTCTTGTATTGCATCGATTTATAATTTGTTAGATGCACGCTTTCATACAACGTCCAAGGTAAAATGTGTCAGCGTCACGTCACATGAAAATAAAGCATAAACTGTTTAGAACGGACACTTAAATTAAGCCGTTTTGGGGTTTCAGGCCATCTAATGTCAAACAAGGTATTATTTTTGTTGTTCTTGTCGTTTCATATTACTAATGGACAGCGTAGCAAGTGTAAAAGTGACACAGTCAAATAGCGAATGATAACAAAAGAAGGCAATCCAATGATTCTTGCCTTTTTTGGTTGTGGTTCTTCACTTTTCGAGCACTTCCGATCGTGATTTTTATCCATAGGATATTATTGCTTGTTTAAAAGGATACCGTCGATTAAAGTTTATTTTAATTTTTAATTCGCGACTTAGTCCGCGCGAAATATTGTCTTCGGTTAGCATTTTATATTTAGGCTAATTATATATTTTACTTAAACTTAAAAAAAAACATTACGACAAAACATGTTTAACTGATAATACATTCATATAAACCTTACACATTCCCATACAAACTTTATTTATATCAAACTAGCTGTCGCCCGCGACTCCGTCCGCGTAGATATATAAAAAAACTTTATATATTGATAAGTTAAATAAACAACTCTTCTAGGCATAAATTCGAAAAAAAAATGGATAAATAGTATCCTATGTCCGTCTCCTGGCTTTAAGCTACCTCCTCACCTATTTTCAACAATATCGGTAAAGCTTGAGTTAAAAATTGGGTAACTAACACGACTTTCTTACTCTCTCAATATATATATATATATATATATATATATATATAGCCTAAAAATAAGTTCCAACCTTCATCTAGCTGTACAAATGACAACACTTTAACCCTCTCAACCCTTTCATCGCATTAAAAAATAGTCGGTCCTTTCTGAGGCTCTAAACTATCTGTGTACCAAATTTCATTTAAATCGGTTTAGCTTTGGCGTAAACGCGACAGACAGTCAGAGCTACTTTCACAATTTTTATTTTAGTAAGAATTAATTATATTTATTTAATATGTAATAAAGATACTGTAATTAAAACCCTTCTCGCTTCAACCTTATATTACTTTTAGTTCCAACTTAGTTTGATGCTCCGAGCAAGAAACTCTCGCGAACTGCAAGCAACTTTGTTAAGGATGCCTTGGATCGGGGGGAAATATAGGGGGTGTTTATGATTGTAGACGTTTCTCCGACACTGCTCGAGGCTAGAATAAACTTTATTTACTTTCTAGTTTTACAGAAAATTTAATTAGTATGCATTAATTAATTTGAATTTGATATTAATATACCGTCCTTTATTATGATAAAATCGAAGAATTGACCATTCCAGTGAACCTTTTTCGTTATATGTCGAAAGATATTACATATATACGTTCAAATGTTATTAATATGTGTAGATTGAAATTGCCTTTTACACTACATCATTCTGACAAACAGTTTAGAAAGTGTCAATAAATGATTTCCCACCCGGTCGAAACCGGGACGTGTCTCTTGTATTGATCTAAATGGTTAAAGAAATTCTCAAAGGTTCTAAGTAATATTTAAATTATATTTTGACGATATTTTCTATATCTCTATGAGGGGTGTTTGGTGATAATTCTTTACATTCATTCTATCTGAAAAATATATGTAACTGTACACAGGTATCGGCAGTGGAAACTTACGGTAACCTAAAACAGTGAAGTAGATTCATGGTACTTTTGTACTCACCTAGTCAGGGTGGTTACACAAATATACGTCATTTGCCATTTAGTAATGGTGACCATTTTTTACTATGCAAAATGTACTATCAAGCCCATTCAATTGATACCCATGTTAGGGGACTGTGAAAAATATGTAATCCTTCATTTAATCACCGTTGACTTCTTGGATTTACAGTGATTTATACACTGAATGTAAAAAGTTGCCTTGTCATCAGGACTTAAACCGTGTTACAAATTTCAGAATAATCATGAACGGCAAGTGTGTCTAATTAAAGCTCCTTGTTTTGTAAAAGCTGTAAGGATTGAAATGAAATTAGATGTAGATAAGATGTCTGATATTCCTTAGATATCTTTTATTAAGGCTTGCTGTTGCTCGTGATTTCGTTACCGCGAAATAAAAAAATGGTCTAAGTTACTCTCGCATACATAAGCTACCTTCTATTAAAAGTTCCGTCAAAATCAGCCCAGCCGTTTCGGAGATTATGTGGTTTGATTTTACTGAGTAATTTTGTGTTATTAGCTTGCTATCAAGAATATCCAGGTCTTGAAATTGCGATCAATTTTAACAAAAAGTTATATTTAGTGCCGTATAATATGATATGAAGTTATTTATTTATTTAAGTACAAACAAATGTGCTTATATAAACGACTTATTCAAATAACAAAGATATAACTTGTTGATGCATTCAAAAAATAATGTACATGTCAAAACAAAATTAATATGATGTTGTACGTAATGGAAATATCTCTCGCAACTGCGCACTAAGTAATTCGAATACGATATTCCCGTCCCTAGGTAACCTGCCGGTCACCCTCCCGCCCCTGTCGTTCTCGGGAGCTTCAGTCGTAACTTAGTGCTCAAGCCGAGCGGTTGCCTCTTGCAGCACTAGTGCCGATTGCTACTCTTTGCGAATAATACCTTATAGGTAAATTAATGTTTCAACTGAGTTTAATGTTTTAAGTTAATAGTGAATTTAATAAAATCGTATTGAAATATAGCTAGAATTTTTTTTGTGATCTCAATAAGTAAAAATTTATGCCGTTTTAAATAAATACTATTAATAAAAAAATAGAATCTTATTTTTGTTTAATAAAAAAAAATTACGTGATCGCAGTAATAATAAATAATATAATAAACTATTTTTGCGTAATTTTTTTTAGAGAGAAATAATAAATAACTTAAAAAAACGAATAAATATGTTTAAATAGTTTTAATAGCATAATATGCGATATACTTAGATATTTTAGATAAGACAATTTTATGCGATACATATAAGTCCAAGAAAAACGGTGTTTTGTAATTTAGCAAGTGATTACATATTTTTTACTTCATTAATGCAACGAAACTTTAATTTTAATAAGATATTTTTTAAAATATAAATAAATGCTAAAAATCAGTGGTTAAAAGTTTGGTGTTTTTTCAGGTGTTTCTGTTTGTCGTGAGCCACGGCCTGCATGAAGCTGGCTGTGACAACGCGCGACCACTGTGAAACATCTCCTAGTGGTTATTTGCGTATTGGCCACACCGGGGAGAAGGCGCCACGTGTGGGCCTGCGTACAACCGGGGGCGGGCGCTCTGCGCCGCCCCACAACGGGATATGTAAGTAAACATGTTAAAATTGAAAACTTATTCATGTTATCATGGTCACCAAAATCAAGTTCATGTCTCCATTAAATCTGCACTATTGACATCCTCGATGCCACTCTATGTTTCCACACCAAATTCATATCGCACCACTAAATCGATGTTAATTTAGTTATTATTTTTGTAGCGATTCAGTTTTTAATTTTATGTAATTTTGCATTATTCCCACTCATAAGCTTGTAAACATTACTTGGGTTTAAATTGTATGTTGCGCATACTGTAGCGGCTGTTGGCACTCTTTATATGTAGCGAAATACTTGTTGCGCTTATCTGTTGTTTTTTGTTTTTTATTTTTATATTATTTATCGTTATATCTCAGCGGGTAGACTATCCGGCTGTTATGAAGTAGATCCGTAATTTCTTTCTGACTTACAGCAAAATTTACATGATATTTTTAAATTTCGCATTTATTTTACTACTTAAAATTTATAACGGTTAATGTCTAGTTTGGTGTAGTTAAAAGAAGTAATTGACTTTTTTATGTTTTAAAGTTAACTTTGTTGTTTTCTTTTATTTTGATTCCGTTCTACGTTTCTTAACATTGTCTTGTATGTGCATGAACTTTAATATTGCAGAGCAGATGTATATTGCAGCGTGTAAATTTATTATTAATATGATACTGTTAAAAAATATAGAGTATTTAATCTCTGCCATATTTTTGGCATACAAAGCAGTATGTTGACACGGCAACACTATGCGAGCTTTGTATGGCGCACGCGCAAGGTCGCGACTAACAAACGCCTGCGTTAGTCGACTTTTTGCGTCCCTTCGCGTCCGTCTGCGTCCGTTCGAGTCCGTTCGAGTCCGTCCGAGTCCGTCCGCATCTGTCCACCTATGACATTAAACAGTACTAAGTATTGTGTACACGTCACACGTCAATTCTTTCGATATTATATTATTTTTGAAAGATAGAAGCAGTTATTTCGTTATTTTCGAAAGACTTAAATAATATTTTTTTAAATATTAAATTTAATGCGTACCCGGCAAGACCGGTAACGCATCTGCAGTTCCTCTTTTGTTGCGGGTTTCTATAAGCATTTAAATTTTTAATTGAAATCTAGTTTTAACTATTGACTATAACCAATTTCAGTCAAATAAAAAAATTAAGGCTACAATAATTGACTTTTCAACAATTTTTCTTCACTTTTTTATATTTAATTCGAATCTTGTTTAAGACATTTTTTTTTTCTAATGAATTATAACTAATTTCAAAGTGATAAAATTAAAAAATAAACTACATCACTAGCAAACGATCGGTTGTTCTTGTCATATCGTCTAAAAAAGACATTTTACATACAATTTCAACGAAAATGCGCTGTCTACTTTTAGTTAGTTCTTAAAACGTGAATTCAGACAATATGATGTGATGGGCATCGAGCTTAAATGCGCAATTTTAACTTGCTACAACTTTGTTAAAACGCGAAAGAAAAAAACAAAATGCCTTAGTACGGAAACCTGTATGCGGTCCTTCGATATACGACGAACAAAAAAACACTAAAAATATCAATTCACATAAAGCTGAAAATTGATAGGACTGTTATAAATACCATTATATGTAATCGGCAGAGAAAAATCTAGAAAAATACGTACTTAAAAAAATCTTTAAAAATGAAAGGTTTCTAAATTGGGATTTTTGCGTTTTTTTTGGAAAATCGTATTAAATAATTACCTTACTAGGTGTTGTCGATCATAATCTTTATATATATAATTCTTCTGTGAGTGTGTATGTCACTGAACTTCTCTCAAACGACTGGACCGATTTTGATGAAATTTTTTGTGTGTGTTCAAGGGGATCTGGGAATGGTTTAGATTCACAATTTTCATCAAATATTAACTTCATATTAATTTATTCAAATTAAAGACGCGTAGACAGGACAACGTCTGTCGGGTCTGCTAGTTTCTTATAAAAATTGTATAATATTCTCGAGTCAAAATGTTAGTCACCATACTCCTACGAAACGGCTTGACCGTTTCTAATGAAGTTTTATACGCATATTTAGTACGGAACCCTCACAGGACCACTTTGTTGTCTGTCCGTCTGTCTGTCAAGACCCTTTCTCTCAGGAACGCGTGAAGGTATCAAGCTGGAATTTATATCAAATAATCATGTCTGCTGTCAAACTTCAAAGCCTACGCAATCAAAGTTTATGTCACAAATTTTACGGAAATTTCCGACGTTCGCAAGGAAATCAAAACCTACAGGGTACTTCCCGTGAACTTAGCATCTTGAAATTTGACACGAAGCAACGTTGTATAGCACAGATAAAGGAAAAATTGGGAAAACCGCAAATTTTTGATTCCAATGTATATGAATACAATTTTTTTTTTAAATAATTTTAATGGCGGGTTGTAAGGAAAGAAACCTAAAGGGTACTTCCAGTCGACCTAGGGTGTTGAAATTTGGCATGAAGCAATGTGTTAAAGCACATATAAACGAAAACTTTTAAGTTCCATCAGAGTACAAAAATATTTTTAATATGTTATACTTTGTACCCTTTTCCTTATGAACGAGGTATTAAATTGAAATTCATATCAAATACTTAAGTCTATAATACCTTTAAGCTATAACAAAATCAAACTTCTATATCAACGCAATCAAAAAAAAAAGCAATTTAAGCTGAATTTCAAACTAGCAACTACTCGCAAGGGAATCAAAATCAAACCTAAAGGGTATTTCTAGTCGACCTAGAATCTTGAAATTTGGCATTAAGCAATGTCTTATAGCACATATAAAGTAAAAATTCCGAAAACCTTAGATTTTTTTTACATCACATATAATTTTTCAAAATTACAAACTTATTAACTATGACTTGATTGTCGTGATAGGTGAACTTTTACTTAAACCTCCAGGTTTGTTCGGAACCGTCGGGGCGCGAGTCCGACTCGCGCTTGACCAGTTTCATATATAATGGCGTTTGAACATTTTTACCAAGTTTCATCTGTATGCGAATTTATCTACATATTTTTTCATGTACAAACTGATCGAATTAATTTCAACTGTTGATCCGTAATATCGTATAATATAATATAACAGTGGAACGGTGGATCGAAAAAAAGAATTCAGAGTATTTTTATAGGTAATTTTATGATCTACTCTTAGTCTAAGAAATTTTTTTGATAAAACAATTTTTCCGACAAACGCTAAACCAAATTTTGGCACCTTGAATTTTTTTCCATAGGAACTTTTTGGGGCTCAAATACCAATTTTCAGCTCTATGTGAATTATTGTATCTTTACCAATTAATTTCGCTTAATTTGACTGCTACCACTATGGTTTTTAACTATATTGTTTACGTTTTGTCTCTTTAAAATACTTGGGACGTATTTCTAAGGTTTCAAAATTTTATTTAATTAAAATAATTATTTGTAAATTATTAAATAAACCTTATTCTTTATTATGAAAATGACGATCTTGACAGACGGACCACAAGGTAATCCTATAAGGGTTCCGTTTTATTCCTTTCGAGGCACGGAACCCTAAAACTTAGTCGTGACATTTTTAAAACACTAATAAATAATTTTGCGGCAAATGTAACACACAATATGTTTGCTAAAAATGTTTTGCGTTTTAAAGTGTTTTACATAAATATAATAATGAAATATTTTTTACACATTTTTTACTGAGTGGTGCATACGTTTTTTGTGGTGTAAAATGGTATCCATATAAAACATTACTATACGATTTACCAGTGGTAGAGCCCGCTTTAACGCCTTCGCATGAATTGGCCCGGCTCGCCCGGTGAAATACCACGCCCAAACAGAAGACAGGCGTGAAGTGGAAGCAATTCCGCGTTTCATCTGATAAGTGCGTCCCGGAGGCCTGATTTAGTCATCTTTCCTTTCCCACCCTTTTTCTTATCAGGAAAGGATGGAAAGGGGAAGTGGACCTTACGGATGACAGGATGCATGGAAAGGAAAAATATTTTTTCTTTCTGTGCATCCTCTCCTCCGTCGATTAAAGGTAGGCAACGCATCTGCAATTGCGTATATCTATGGGCAACGGTCACTTCGCTATTTCAGCGTTTCCAGGTGGCCGTACGCTCGTTTGCCACCTTATGATATAAAAAAAACGATAAATTGAATGTTTAATATTTTAAAGTTCGCAACGGCTAACCTACTTACTTATATTGACGCGTATATGCAACCCTAGTCACTAGAACTTACTAGTACTGCGTGAGCGAAATTAATTTAAGATTTTTAGGCCATGCGAATATTGAATTCAGTATGGAACGTGATTTTGCTGGCTTTGTTTAGGATTTATATCAGTAGTAATTTAAGTCAATTCATACTTTAGCAGTAATCTAGTTTTAAGTTTTTGGTTAATGTTTTGAATTTACGGCTTTATTGTATTAGTCAAATTCTATCATTTGACACCCGTATTGAAGGCTAGCTAAACATTTTTATTTGCACTCACCTCTATATCCCACTGGATAGGCTGTACAGAAAAATGTATTTTTAATATTTGCTATTTTGGCGCTAACAGTCGCGGTGTTGAAAAAACTAATAAAAGAGCTAGAGTTAGCCAGTTACCTTAAAGTAATAGCTGACATTTTCAAACAGTGTCGATAGTAAAAATGTGTCATTACCCTTTTTATTGTAGCCGTCATCTTGAATTTATTTAAAGTGTACCGAAAGTGTACTAGTCAAGACCCTTCCCTTGACGTCCAAGCTAGGGTGGTAGTACAAAAATTATTATCCGGCATTTATCAAATGATGGCCATTTTAGATTATTCATAGTGTACAGTACTCTCAGGGCCCTATATTTAATATCCATAGTTATAATAAAATGTATCATCCTCCATTTTGTATTACACATACTCTAACCGTACTAAAGTCGTCAAGCCCTTTCACATATATAAGTTTTTTTTGGGTGATGCTATGCTATGCTAAATTTAATATCACTCTTCAAGGATAACATTCTAAGCTAAAATACAATAAAAAGGTACTATAAATGTATAGTCCTGATGGGGTGATGGTACAGAAACATCATCCGCCATTTTTCATTATTCGTAGTGTTTCGTACTTCTCAAACTCTTTCATTTAATACCCATGTTGGGTTGGTTGTACAAATGTATTTTTGTTTGTACATTTTTAAGAGCGGCCGACTTGTATTACTTATAGTGTACTGTACTATACTGGTCAAGCACTTACATGTCATTCATAATTTTGTTGATATTTTTTTAAAGTCTATAGCCAAGTAATTCTAAGCGGCCGCTACCTACAACAACGACCGCATGTTTTTCCATAAACCCCAAAATAGGTTTCTAATTTATGGTCAGTCCAAGATGATCATCATTACAAATTGGCGCATGTCAATTTTGTTATGCAACTAACCCTACATTGGTATATGAAAGGGCTTGGCTATTAGAATACGGCAAGAAAATCGTAATAAACACATTAACTAAACACTTAGAAATGATTAACTCATTTATTAAATGCTTGCTTTTTAAAATTAATTTATGACTCTTTCCTTTCAAAAAGAGTAACTTTTCGAAATATTTCTTTACTTTAACGTTTTTAAGAAACATAAACGGTAAACTTTAAGTTATACGTCCTTGATCCAGATACCCTCCAGATGGTTTATTGACATCGGGAAAAACTAAGCATGATGTAGGATTCGATCCGCACATCATCGCGCCGGATCCATTCGCATCAGACGTTAACATCGATGAAATTTGTACAGAAGACCTGATCCTGTTGACTAAGTAAGTTTTAAAACATAATTGGAATGCCTTTTCGTCAAAAGACGTCAGGTATTAAATGCCTCACTGAGCGTACTCACTAAAAGACCACTTAAACGCTACGAGTGCGGCTGTGAGTTGTCATTGGATTCGTATTTCTTTCTAAAGTGTTTGTGAAATTGTGAGTGTGTCGCCAGTCGGTTTTTTTTTGTGATATATTCGTAGATTGTATTCATATAGATTTATTATTTCGACACAGTTGTCGAACTATGGAGGAGCCGAATGAAAGGTAAGTTGTAGTGAATATATTTATTATGATAATATTGTAGGGTTCGTTTTAAATTAATCTATGATAAACGCAACCTCGCTTTACTATAATTTTAATGTCATCGTCTATTTTAATTTGAAATGCGAAAGTTTGGATGAAATATGTAGATATAGAATGCAGTTTAGAAGAACACATAGACTACTAAGTTTTGTTAGTAAAAGTCGCGGGCAATAACTAGTTTATATTAGAAAGATAACACACACCTACAATTGGGTATTGCAATGTAATGTTCGTATGCGTTCCTAAACCACCGGGTAGGTAGCTTTTGATGAAATTGTGAAGTTCTCTTACTACTGCATGCACCACTTGTTATTTACACTAGCAATTTTGGATTCGGGATTTATTTTGGTGGCGGGGATTTAGAATCCGATATAAAGCACATATTTATGTATGAACTTTTATATGTAAAAAGGTGAAACGGGGACAGTAAAATTAACTTAGAATAAAAATAATCAAGTTCTGTATAAACTTTATCACGGAAGAATACTTATCAAATGTTAAGCATAAATCTAAATAGACTCGTATATTTGTACAACACCAAATTAACGAAAAAGTAAGTAAATTCTCAGCAATCGCTGCTGCGTTGGAAGATGTGAGAAGCACGTGCTCAGCATTAATATCAAACCTGATTGAATCAATCATATTTTTTCTTGAGGAGGAATTCGGGAATATATTAAAATAGTCTAGATCCAACTCGATTTTTTTTTAGCCCATTGAGCATTTCGTTTTCTAAAACAATTAATTTATCCTTTAATTTACTTTTTTTTGTAGGTTCGAAGGGCTAGACACGATGAATACAGGGGAAGATGAACCATCAACTGGTTTAAATGGAAGACTGCGACCACGTAAATCGAACCATAGCCCCCAATCTAACCAAATATCGCGTAAATCCGAAAATAAGACCTTAGAGGATAAGCCTAAAAGAACAACTAATTTGAAAATATCACCTAACAAAACAGATGATCTCGTGAAAAAGTCTGACAATACAATTCCACAACATTTTTGCCCGTACTGTGACAAAACATTTAGTTCTAAACAAACTGCTTTGAGGCATGTTCATCTCATCCATATTTCTTCTTCGAAACAAGACTTCTTCTTTGATTGTCTTTTCTGTAATCATGTCGAGCATAATTCAAACATCATTCGCCACATGGTGGACAGTCATCCAAATCAATATTTTGCTTGTCTGGATTGTCATACTAGATTTTCGTCGACATCAGATGTGATACAACATAAACTTAACGTGTGCGAAAAACAAGAGCTTCCTTATCGTAGCAAACTACGTCAGAAGTCATTGGAGAGGACGAAGCCCAAAAAGTCATCGAACTCAGATGCCACGAAGTCGATTCTCAGTGATAAAAAAGACTTTACTGACGGCTTTAAGGGGATAGTTATCTCGTGCGAACTTAAACCAACTAAAGTACGCGATGACGCCGATATAGAGGATAATATAACAACGAATTTAATATTACCTTCAAACAAAGGGATAAGTCATAAAGCGATATTGGAGAAAAAGGCAATTATCGTTTTAGATGACATACAATGGAATAAAAGAATTCCATCCAACTTTTCTTTTCATAACACTGACGCTGATCAAATTTTATCTAGATTGGGGGTGGTGCATAGATCGCCTAGAACCGGCGAATCTACTAAAAAAGAGTGGACAAAACCGTCTGAAAATGGTACACACAAATTTGAGAAATGTTTTGACACCAACTTTTACATGCAGGTCGCCAGGAACGTCCAAGAAAATTTATTAAAACATCTCGATGGATCCTTTATCGATAATCCTGAACCAGATTCAATCATTAAAACAAGGAAATCTAAGGACTGTGTTACCATCAATACCGCAGAAGGTTTCCCTATTCTTCTCGCTGGCGATCAATATTCTCGTAACCTATTAGATGGTTTTGTGCCGAGAGCAATAGCACCAAAACACAAATGGAAATGGGATAGCGCGGATAATGACAGATCTGTCGTTAATGTGGACCAATTAAAGCGCGATTCACACCTTAATAACTGCATCATAACATATGTATCTAATTTAGATATTTGGACCCAATTACGTATGAGACAAAAATTCGAAGACAAATTTAGTAGCTTACCATTGGAAGAAAAGACTGAAAAGCAAAATACGATCAGCAAGGAATTGAAAGAAATACTCGAAAGCAAAGAAATACCAATTTCACCTACACAAGGCATTAAAAATTATGGCAAACCAACTTCTAGCGAAGGATCTCATTTTCCCGCTATGTTAGGATTAAGTCCAACCACTCCACCTTTTGTTTTACCACCAGCAGTTCTTAGTGGTGAATCGGTTCGGCCTCGGTGCTATGTGTGTTGCGCTTGCGGCGCACAAACACATGATTCTCGAGCGCTTTCTTCTCATATTTCAACGCAACATCCCAATGCACAAATAGAACATTACGAAATTGTTGGAGAACCTTTATTGAATGCGGATATCTTTAAACATCTGTATGTGCCTCCTAGTCAGATATTTAACCGAACTCGTCCTCAGAGAGGATTTCGCGAGTGCACAAAATGTAAAAAATCTATAACCCTTGAAGATTTGCACCAACATATATTAGATTGCGCAGGCGACACACCAACGGTGCGAAGGAAATGCCGCTATCGACCATTTGGCGTCCGCAAACGTCGTCCACGTCTCCCTGATAATAGGATACGTAAGAAAATGCGAAAAGATATTCGAACAGGACAGAGAAACGATAAAAATCTTTTGAGGTCTAGGACTAAAACAAGGTCGGAAGTAGGTGACGGTAAGTTTAAATAAAATATTAAAATATGCAGGATCTTGCACGATGACGCCATGCTCAAAAAGTATGTGGACAATAAACGTTAGCATAATACAAAAGTGTAATTAGGTCAGATCTTTAAAATCTTAGTAATTTTATCGAATACGTTATTTAGAAAGATACTTTGAGTGATCCTACATTGTTCAAGCTGTGTTGAATGTGACATAGTTGTGTAACGCTCTGTACTTTATTAATTCATTATCAATTATCAAGATTATTTTTTTTTTTTATTAAAAAAACTTTATTATATTTATGAGATTTTTATATTTCAGCTGAAACTATCCGTAAAATGTTAGCAGATCTACCAGCTAAGCGACATAGAGCTACGGTCAATCCACTGAACTCATATCCGAGAAGGAAGTATGATCGTAAACGTAATAAAATAATGACTAGAAAACATACTTTGGATCAAAAGTATATGAATATTGACAAAGTATCTGATATAAAAATAATCTCACCAGAATCTACTACTGATTCAAAAGATTCTGGATTTAATATGATGGATGATGACGATGAAGATGACAATTTGCCTTTGAGGCCCAAAACAAGGGATCTATCAATCAAAAGTAGTAATCATAAAAAAGAGTCTTTAAACAAAAAGGCTACTATGAATCGCCCTAAAATAAAAGGACCTGATAAGGAATTGAAATTAGTTATTGAAAATACTACAGACGCTCTAAGCGGATGTATCGAGAGTACCGAACCTGACAAAATCTCATTAGACAATACTCCAAATCGAGTGGATCTTAATAGTGATCCACAAAAAGTAAGAGGACATTCAAATCGTGAAGGATCAAATAACAGAGAAAGCCAACAACAATCAGGAGGTGGTAGCGAACCAAGCGGCAATTCGAATAATTCTAATGCGCCAACCCAAAACGTTCCTCTAAAACATTCAATTGCCAGTTTGACGGCTGATTCGGAGACTCATGACAAAGCTGTTCAATTTCATCGCCTTTTTCTTGTTCAACAAGAATGTAATAACGGAGACGAACATCACTTACCATCTGGTCCTCGTGTATTATTTGAAAATCAAGCTGTGGTAACTAAGCTTGATAAACCTCCTTTACATTTTAATCAAAACCGTGCATTCGAGTATCATAACTCTCGAAAAAATAAGTTAAGTAAGCCGCGTAAAGGATTAAATGCATGTATTGCAATGTTAAAGAACAAATTGACACCTAATAGTGATAGTGATATACCTGGACACGTTTCAGTTCAATGCGGCAGCGATGAGCCGATAGAACTAGAACCTATTTATATGGAACAAGGATTTGACTTAATTGGCCCAAAACAAGGGCACATAAATAAAGAAATATCACAGCCGCATATTCCTGCGGATGATAAATTGCTAAAAACTAGTGATAGTAATGACTATGGAAATTCTCATGAATCTAGAACTGATGTTATTTGCCCCGATAAAGATAAGGTGACAAACTGTCATATCCAAGATCAGTTATCCTACCAATGCCAAGATATAATCAACTCAAGGGAAAGAAACGTTTCAAATCATGTTGTGCTTTCGCCTACTCAATTACCTCCGCCTAGGAATACAGTTATTCACAAGTCTCCAAAAATATCAGGAAATCAAATGCAACAAGAAGAGGAAAAAATAATTTTGAACCCACAAACACCTAAAAATAATAAAAACGATCAGAATGATAAGGTCCCTGAAACACCACCCACGATTTCAAAAGATATTTTGAAATCAGTTACTACACCAGGAATTCAAAATTCCCAATTTTGCAAAGCTGTTACTGATAAAGATGCTTTGGTTGACCTAACAAAGAACAATAACGTGACAAATTTAACATCAAACAATGACTTGATTCCTTTAGACTTAAATGTAGGTAAAAAGTCGACACAGTCACATGATCAATACGTATCAACCAAAAGAACAGGGTGGAATAAAAGAACAGGAATGAACACAGTGGAACAAAACGGTGACTCTTCACGTAAAATAAATCTCCAATATAATTCAGACAAATATAACGACATTCCACTTAAAATCCTTCCAGCGCACGCGAGCGCTAGTTTTGAACCATTGTCACCGGCTCCATTAGATTTATCCGGAAAATCAGTTTCGGCACATGCATTACAGATTTCTTCGCGTCAGAATCGTCATTCTTTAACCATGAATAGATATGATGATAATAAAACTTTAGATCTGTCTAATAAAAATGCGGATGCTAACGTAACTCTTGAGAATTCTACTGTTGTGGATGATGCACCTACGGATGTCGTGGTAGATTTAAGCATTAAACAAACTCCACAATCTTCCACACAATCAAGTCCTACAAATTTATCTACAAAATCTCTTGGAAATAACGAGAATTCAACAGTAATGACATATGAAGATATACACGAAGATTTCCCTACTGATTTGTCATTGAGAAAAAGAGCGAGAGCTCCATCTTTAAATATACTTCCAGAAAAGGGTGTTGCTATTGACTACACTGAAAAGAGTGAAGAAAATATGATTGTACTTGATCTTGTTAATAAAGAAGCACCGAGAGATTTATTAAACAGCGGATTAGAACATAATACAACAGTAACAGATTTGCTTACAAATGAATCAGATTCTCGGCAGTTAAGTATAATATCAAATACCTCTGAAACGTCGGAAAATCAAATCGAACATCAAAGTTTAGAAGCTGTTTACGACAATACAGCCGAACCTCGGGTCATTAATCCAAATGATGATCTTAACTTAAATGTTCAAGAAAACAATTCTAACTATATTTTACTTCCGACAAATGCTGAGTCAACAAATTCGCACAGCCAGAACCAACTGTCTCCCTTTAGGGATATGAGTAATGTTAACTGTTCCGATATAAATGAAACAATCGGTAGTGGAATTTTGGTGCAGTCTAATACTGAGGCTACTATTGGCCAAACAAGTGAAACGATAAATAGTCAACCTTCACAGCCCTATATCGAGACGATTTGTTTTATAGTGCCAAAAGATCAATTGCCTTACGAAATTGAAAATTCTACATTAAACATTACTATCACGACTAATGGCGATACTGTACCTCTTTACCAGGCAGTAAATTATAATGGCACAACACAGGAAGCAAGGAATAACCCAGAAAGCACAACATCAGTATATAGTTTGGAAAATGTCTCCGTGCCCATAAATACAACCAATCTGGACGAAACCAATTTTTCTAATATTCCCGAAGAAGGGATTTCTAGTTCTACGTCTGTTTACAATGAAGTTGATACTAACAGGGACGCTAGTATTGATTATAATCCAGAACATGTAATTGATGCAAATACAAATGCAGAATCTATGATTTTAAGAAACAATGAATCGGCTGAAACGAACAGAATTGCAGAAAATACTTCGGATATGACTACAGAAATGATAAATTTTGAAATAGAACAGGACACGGAAACCGCCAGAAAAATTGCAATGCTGCCTCAAGAATTAGTTGAAATTTTAGGAACAATGCCTGTTGACCATCGAAATCAACTATTGAACGTGTTACCCCAATATGTTTCTACTTCTGCTTCTACTGCCGGAACGGAAACAAGGAAATGTCTGATCAAAACGCAGCAGACTACATCCATGGAACATAGTTATGATGACAAACTATCAAACATGCAAAATCTTAGTAGACCTGTCGCATCAGATTTTGTTTTATACCCTAAGTCTACAGTTATCTCTCCTGAATCAGCGGCTCATTCCGTAATTCTTAAGGCTCCAGTTGTTTTAAACGAAAATTACCAAAATCCTTCTGAAACCTATGAACATGAACATTCGTCGACATTTACATTAAAAAGAAACTCAACACCGGTTAAAAAACGACAAACAAACCCAGTTAATTTTGGAGATGAGGCAAATGTCATCATAGACTTAACGAATGATGAAAATGTTCAAGAAGTAAAGAAAGACATACAAATAATTGAAAGCTACGTAGTGCCGTTAAATCCTGATTTTGATAAAAATCAGAACATAGATACATCCCTTGAAATTCTAAGACAAAAAGGAAATAATGAACAGACTGCGAATTTAAGAGCAGTGCGAATGAAAACCACCCATGAAAGAAATAAATTAATACGATTGGAAGGTAACCTTCAATACAAAACCTTTTATAAGAACAATAATAACCAAATTATTGAAATTGCTGAATATGACAATGTAAACGCTGAAAATAACGGAATCCAAACTTATAATGAGGATCTTAGAATAGCTGAAGATAGAATTGAAATTCCGTTATTGCAATGTGTTGATTCCAATAAGACTTTCAACCATTTAAATGAAAGCTTAAATCTTAGTGGGCCTTTAAATATTAATGAAAGCATTTTAGTAAACTCTACTGTTATACTAACGCCGATTTCAAACAAAGAAAATTCTATTGTACTCCCTGACATTAATTTTCAAAGAGTAACAAATAGTCAGTCTAATGACTTGTCAAGTTCTATGTGCGAAGAAATAACTTTATTGGATACTACTAATACACATGACATTAACACACAAATAATATCGATGAATGGAGACGGCATTTCTACTCCCGCCAAAATGTCCATAGAAAAGGTTGCAAATGGAGATGAAGATTCAGAAGACGACGTTACTTTAGCGGTTATTGTAAAAAAGAAACAACGTCAACAATCGCATCTGCCAACATCTTGTGATGATAACATACCGCTCATAGATGCGAAGTGTACAGATACAGATAATAAAAAAGTTAAACAAGATAAGAAAACGACAAAATCTTTTTCAAGAGATAAGGGTAGCAAACAATTACCAAACAAACATGTAGGTGCAGTTAAGCTCTCTGCTCTCTCTCATAATTTGACTACTGCAGAATTAGAAATTGGAAACGGCAAACATCAAGACAACAACGACATTTTGAGTAACTGTGAAAAACCCTCTATTGAAATGGAAGTGTCAAATTGCAAATTAAACAAAATCATTAAAAGTAGTCGTGTCTCACCTAAATATTCAAAAGCAATTAATCAAAGAAAAATTAATGGCTCAAATACTTCACATAAAAAAGGTGATGACATGGTCGTTGAAACGAAAGATTTCCAAGAAGTTTGTAAAGAAGATACAGACAATATTCACCTCAATGATTCTACTCTCAGATTAGATGATAAAGATTGTGCGGTTCAAAATAACAATATACAAACTCAAACCAACACGGATGTTAAGGAAAATCAATCAAGTAATAAAAATCATGATGTTTGTATTGACATAACAAAACTTGATGATAACTCGCCTCAAATAAGTCAACACTCGTCGAAAGAAAACATTCAGAAATTAAAAGGTAAACGTGGGAAACCTAAAAAGAAAAAATGCATTGTTCGTAACTGTATTCTTCATAGTTACATGGGTAACCTTTATCGAAAATCATTAGACAATTCAAAACAAAGTCTTGCACCGCATCTACAAGCCGTCTGTACTGAAGTTCCTATTTCAAAACTTAAAGAATTAACTCGTCTTAAACAGCAAAGAAACAAGCAAAGTGCTGAAATCAGAAAATCGCAACAAATCTCGCTAGGAACTGAGGAAATTAACCCTTTACCTTTGCGAAGAAGCCGACGAGGCAAATCTATGTTTGTGGATAATAATATTGCTCAGTCTTATGTTTCTCAGCAAATTGATAAACCCACTGAACAAAAAGTGCCTCTTACTAAAAAGCAACTTATATTTTCTAAGCTATTAATGGACGAAGAAAGAATATCGCAACCTCAAACCGATAAAGTGATTGCAAAGGAACCGGTTGTTGGTGTTAAGGATGCAAGCTTGAGTGGCCATAATTTATATTCTACGTCACAAAGTAACAAAAATACCAAAGAACCAGAAAAATCGACTGTCCCTGCTTTGAATCAAGATAAAAAATCTAAAAGAAAGAAATCTCCTCAAGCAAAGCAAAAATCCAAAAAGTTGAAATCTGTTGATCGTGACGCAGAAGATAACACATTGTCTACTTCACCTGTCATTAATGCCAAAGACCGTAAAAATACAGAAATTACCAAAGGTAAAACGGAAAATCAGATAAGCCACCAAAATGAGTCATCACAAAATGACCTATCCACTACTTCCCTTATAGAAAAAAATAAAAACAATGAGGAATCTATTACTATTGAAAGCAGTGCAATGAAGGCAGTTTATGCCGAAAAAAGAAAAATATGTACGTCAACAAGTGCTGATAATAACCACGATTCAGAATGTAAAAAATCAAAACTAATTAACGATACTGGACCTGAAAGCAAAAAGCTTGAACATTTAAAACAGAATGTTGTAGAAACTTGGAAAAAAAGTAGAAATGGTGTAGGAACAAAAAATACTTGTTATAATAATCATACTGCAATGAGGCGAACTAGATCAAAGTCTGTGGTTGTTAAGTCCAGTACCCCTTTATATGATCCTTATGATATAGATTTAGAGGATATGGCTGAGAAAGATGAATCATTCGGAAGATTACTGACGTCAAATAAAGATTTTAACAAGTCGAGTTCTATAAAAGATCAGGAAGTAAAAATAAGTAAGAATGAAACGTCTATTGGCGTTAATACAGAGCCAATTATTGACGAAAATAAAGATTTGATACCGACAAAAAAATTAAATGAGACTTATTCAAAAGAAGATACAAGTGATTCAGACGATTCTGCTAAAAGTGACGTGCCATTACAAAAATATGTCGAAGAGAGAGAAAAGAAAAAGTCGAGACAAAATAGTACTACAGATGCTAACAGTTCTGCTCAAGATACACAAAAGAAGAAAAAAGAAACGCAGATTGTCGTCGCAAGCACAAGCAATGAACAACAAAATAGAAATGAACAGTTTATGGAAAGTTTTGGGTTTTTCTCTGAAAGAAAACCTAGAAAATCAAATTTAATTGCTGCTAAAAAGATTTCGGAAACATTCAACGCCATTGAAGCTGATGACACAAATGATGACGAAAAAATCGTACCAACTAGCAAACCAGCAACTACCAAGCCCAAGGATGGTGAAAGTTCTTCTGCGGAACCCACACAAGCAGTTACCAAAAAACCTGCGAAACGAGGACGTAAAAAAGCAATTAAACCAGTTACTAAATTTTGCGTGATTTGTAATAAAGACTTTAAACGCCCAGATAACTATTTGAGACATCAAATTACATTGTTACATATTTCCAAGTTATCAGAAATTGAAATGAAAGTTAAAACAACTCCGGTATTTGAAGAGCCGAATTACCTTATACCTTATAAGCAACAGCTTGACCACCTCAAAATGATTGGTATGTCTAAAAAAAAGCGAAACGTCAAACCTCCTTCGAAAGCGCCCTTGCCAACTTTAGGGGAAATACTGGCTAAAGTGAATAAAAAGGTGAGAGATGAACAGTTATCGCGTCGCAATCTAAGCCGCGATGAAGCACTGTTTATCGATTGCTGTGAATTGTTACAAGAATCTCATAAACCAGAACTAACCAGTAACACTGAACAGGTCACTACAATAATATCTACTGCTACTGAACAAACATCCGAAGTATCTAACAATGCTGAGCAGGCTACAACAGTTCCTAGTAGTGCAGAACAAGTTACAATAGCCAATAATAATGTGGAAACTGTAACACCGCAAAATAATGAACAAGTAATACTAATCAGTGAGGTGAATACTGTAGTAAATGAACAGGCTCCAGTAATTGAGGGTGTTAAGGAGAATAACACGAATAATGAAGATTATGAATTAAGAAGTGATGGTGACGTAGATTCAATAACAGCGAAAAACATTCTTGAAAGCGAAGAAGTACGAAACTTGGAGAACGATTTGCTATCAGGGTTAAAAGAAGCAGCAGCACAATCGCTCGCACATGCATCTGGTAATTTCGTTCTTCAACAAACTTTAAGTGTGATTCAATCAGATCAAAATGAAACAGGGCAAGAAGCTTTATCAAATCCTGTACTTGATAACAAAAATGACGAAAACATCGAAGATCATGAGGTAGTATCAGAACCACCAAAAAAAATTCCTAAACCTAGAAGAAAACAAGTAGTCAAGGACAGTATGTACCCGGATGTATTTGAAGATATAAATATGTTTGAAGACAAATTTGACAAAATCAAAAGAAAATGCCGGTCGCAAGCTGCAGCAGCTAAACATGTGCAACCTGTAGTAGAACCCATAACAAGGTATTATTTTGATTTTTGATTTATTTATTTATTGTTAACGATCAATTTTATCTTAGAAATCAACATAGATTTACTAAAATAAAAGAGAATATGATAATTTTAACGATCAATTTGATTTGTAAAATAAAAGAATTAGAATAAAATCACCCTTTATTTTTTAATTAATTACATTGAAGGTTCGATTTAAAGATTTTTTCGATTATTTTAAAACATCTTTGCCTTTCGATTATTTCTTTAAGTTATAAGAATGTCGTGTTGAAGTTTACCATTATGAACTTACGTATTGAACTTATATATTCATAAACCATATACTCTTTCCATTATATTTTAACTATCTCCACCTATTACCACGTGATAATAATTAGGAAAACGCAATGTTTAGTACTATGCATAGTCAATTTGTTTACCAATGAGTTTTAGGCGAAATGATTAGTTTTTTTTAACGTTTTATTTGAACGTTGGTCGACGATTTCTCTTACGTATTTTGTATATTGCCATAGGTTTCTGTATCAAATATTATTTAATTCTGGTTATATCAATTTAGTTTGTTTTGAAAACAATTGAAATAAGTTACCACTAATAACCCAAAAAGTGTATGCACTCACTTAAACATTTTCTGTATGTTATAAATAATGTTATATTTATTTATCCGAAGTTTAAACGTGTTACGGGTACACAACTAACTAGCTTAGAAATGTCAATTGATCTTTCGAGAAAAATGTTCCTTTTTTATTACATGAGTATTGAACGTTTAAATAATTCAAGTGATGTTTAAAAATATAAAAAAAACTTGATAATGAAAAATATGTCAATGAAAATGTACTATCTATTTTTGTTAGTCCTCTAAATACGTGACGTCAGGGGTGGTGATGTGACGGCTCGGTTCGGCATCGAATTTCGAAGTGGATTTTGAATTAAATTGTAATTTTAACTAAAATGAAATATAACTTTGTAATAACGTGAAATAAAAAAAAATGTGTGGAAACTTGTATACGATCTTTCGATAAACGTAGAAAAAAATCAGTAGAAATGTCAATTGTATAAACGCATTCATCACAAGAAATATTTTTTCATTGTTACAGCCAAAAGGGGAAGAAGAAATTAGAAAACAAAAAAGAAAAGAATTGCCCTGAAGAGGATCCCTGTAATGTTATACCCACAAAAGGAGCGTTAAAAGGTTTTGATGGATTAAAGGTTCCTACACCTACTTCCGATACCAACACACCAGCCATTATTCCTCCTTTGGAAAATACATCAAAAGGAAAAAGGAAACATAATTCCAGAACCCATAAAGATAAAGTGGAAATCGAAACTCAAACAAAACCAAATCAAGATCATAGAGTGAAAACATCACAGCCTCAGAAATACGACGTCTATGAATTTATGGACAGTGAAGACACTGAAGTATTTGATTTTAGGCCTTCAACAATAATGGAACGATTTAAGAATATTAGCAACAGAGATATGCCAAGTACCTCTAAATATGACCCAATGACTGAAGAAATTCAGGTTTCGTGTGAGAGTGGCTCCGACGGAGACGACTTTGTGTACGATGATTACGTTTGCAGCGACGATGAGACTGAAAACAGCATAATGTCGTGCGAACTAGGAAACAGTAAAACGGGCACTGAAACTAAGAGTAAAAGTAATTCACCTCTAAAACGAAAAGATGCCATCGAGAAAAATGCTGTTATGGGTAAAATATTTAAACACAACGCTGTTCGTACCGAAAGAAAAAATATTAAGAGTGTTGACAATGTTAGACCCCAAGCTAATTTAGATCAATTATTTGACAGCTTGCTTGTTGATGAGCCTGGGGCACCGTCAGTAAACCCTAAATTACCAAGGAAAGAGTCAAGAGAACAAGAATCTACACATTCAACGAAACATGTATCAAAATCATCTAAGAGACATGGGCATTCTAAACGACACGAATCTTCGAAGAAACGTGAATCGTCAAAGAAACATGAAACTTCTAAAAAGTATGAATCTTCTAAGAAGCATGAATCTTCAAAAATACACGAATCTTCCAAAACCGAGGAAGTTTTTAAGAAACACGGGTCTTCTCATAAATATGATTCTCCTAAGAAACATGCATCTTCTAAGAAACACGCATCTCCTAAGAAATATGTATCCTCTAAAAAAGAGGAATCATCTAAAAAACATGGATACTCTAAGAAACACGAATCATCTAAAAAGCATGAATATTCTAAAACACGCGATAGTCCGAAAAAATATGAAAAGGATTATCAATCTACCTCACATAGGAAACATAAATCTGCATCAGGCTATGATGAAGAGTTTTTACGAAAAGATGAAGATGAATCTCCTAGTACGCATGTTGTAAAAACTTCGAAACAATATTCTGGAAAAAGTATTCCTTCTACCTCTTACGATACTACAAACATTGATGTCTCATACAGTGATCGAAATGTTAATTCTGTTCATCTAATTATCAATTGTAAGCCTTCCACCTCAAAGGATTACAATTATGAACCAGTGCCAGAAATTGTTCAGTCATCGCCCAAAAAACACAATTCTCACAAATATGCCAAGTCCTCTTTAAATGAATATCATTCAGGAACCCCTAAGAGCTTGGGAGGTCATCGTTCTTCTAATGAAAGTTTCCACCAACCCACAAACATCTATTTGAACGTCAGGTCAGGGAGGCGTTCACGAGAAATTGCATCAACTAGACGTGATTCAATCATTTTACATAACAGAGATAGCGGTCCTTCAGATCTATACACTAATCACTTTGGAAGATATACGAGACATAGATCGACAACACCAGAAACCGAAGACGATAATGACTCTAATTCAGACATTATGGATACATTAGAAGAAGGAACATCTGAGGATCCAGGAGTTGCCCGACAAAGAGCACGTAGGAAATGTACAGTTGGCAAACAGAATATTTTAGCGGAGACGTGGAGCTCAGAATCAGAGCCCGAAAGTGGACCACCACGTCCTAATAGTGCCGAATCTGAGGAATCTGGAGGTGTTCGAAAAAAAGGAAAGAAGAAAAGAGATGGACCATACGGAAACCGCAGGATTGGTGTGAGCCGTCAGATGCCTATTTTGAGACAGGACTTGGAAAGCAGAGTAGCATTGTTCAAGCGCACCACATCCAGTTCTACTGGCAGAGGTATCCAAGGAAGTAGTAGCGGTGCAGGCCCAAGTTCTGCGCCTGTGACATATGTCCCTCCTTCGTCCGTCGCTGGCCCGTCTGGATCCAGTCGTTCGCATCACCCGCGTTCCGCAACTTCGTGGTCGGCAAATGGGGAAGAAGAACAAGAGCATCATCAACAGCACGGGTGGATCGTGGGCGTCAGCCATAAAAAGCTGGTAACTATGTTAGCACATGCTAAGGGACGCAAGCGAAACCATGATGATAAACGTCATGACGTTGAGTAGGGATTTTAAATTTCTACGGTTATTATCATGTAAATATGTTGTATATAAATGCCCTAGTTCTTTATTAAAGTCGTTATGACACTTTGACCAGATAACATTAAAATTTTAATTGAGTTGAGTTATGTAAATATTGTATATCATTTATATATTTAGTTAAATTTTAAACTTTTCCTCAATACTGTAAGGGTTGAATTTATTTAAAGAATTGTTAAACGGTCCCTTTCAGTATAATAGCAAAATTTTCAGCGGAAACCTTTTTAAATGAAATTAGTTTTCTTTTTTTTAATTTGCATCTCTAGGGGATGGAGCATTTTATGACATGATAAATAAGTTTGATCCAATATATAATCTATAGATATTTAATAAATTAGTATTAGAATTATTACTTTCGACGCTTTTAAAATTAAATCATGATTACATACCGCCCGCCGACACTAATTATCCAATATCGATGTATTAATAATATTTAGTAGGAAGGGTGGAGCATCCAGTCGTAAGCATTTGTAACAATTTACAAAAAAAATAATAAGATTGATAAAAGTAAACAAGACGTAGTAATTCCTCAAATATTAATGCTTAGACTTGATACACGATATTTTCAGTGTATATGTGTAGTAATGTTAGTTATGTGTCTGTCCTAAATGCCCCTACCCTATTATTAAATATAAAAACTCATTTGACATAATATATTAAATATAATTAAAATCACAAATTGTGTTTGATATATAAGTTTTGTATATTATAACTATCTCAATGTAAGTAAAATATAATCACAATCTATGAATGAAATTCTAATATAATATTGTGACCTTTAGATTATATCATTATATTCATTGTAGTACTTTGATGTTTATAGATAATACACGTTTTTCATGTAAATCAGGAGGACTGAATAAGTGGTGAGAGTGAAATGTTTAATTTTGTGTTGAATGATTTTGTTGACTATTTTGTATAAAACATACAATATTTCGCATCGTAAACCAATGAAAAATCTCTCGACGTTAGTTATTATTTTTTCTAGTCCGTGTTCTGAAAACGATATTGTCTGCCTCAGAGTTATTTGTGATCTACTTTGACCATTTGGAAAGCATTATTAATTTTCAAAGTATAGCCTGACCAGGCATAAAAAAATCTCGGCTTTTGCGTCAACCTATGGAACTAAATTCTTGTTGGCAATAGCAATCTCATTAAAAGTTATCAAAGTACAATAATAAAATCTTCGATGTAATTTTTTAAATGCCATTATTTCATTAGACGTACTTACGTGGATGTAAAGTGTGCAATATCAAATTGATCGTGTCCGCGCCCGAAAAATTTTCCATTTTCCTGGTCAGATTATTCCTATAATTATTTTGTTATAATAGCATAAAGTTGAACTAAAAGGATGAAAGATGAGAATGACTGAGGTAAGACTTATAGGGAATCGACTGACACGACACTCGTATTTAATACATATTGTCATCTCTGTCCTATCCCTTTGACAAGAAAGAGATGAGAATATTGTATTAATACTATTGACGTGGCAGTCGACACACACCGTTAGAAATAATGTATGAGTGTACATCCGTGAATTTCTATTGAATCTACACTTAGAGTAAATGTGAATAACTGAATATATATAAAATATTGATAATTGTAAACTTTGACAATATAAAACTTCAATAATCGATGTTATTTTGAAAGGTAGGGCGTAAAGGTTAACGTGCATTACTAAACTCTTCAACCCGGCTCCCTGCCTTGCAGCGTTTAACGCGAACATAGCGCAGTCCATCCGTGCAAGCGAGATTTACTTTTTATATCATTATCCCGCTGAATCAGCGGCGGCTAGGGAACGCGGCAATCGCAAGACGGAGCGCTACCGGCTAGACGAGGTGTGGAGTAATACGTGTTGACCTTAACAGTACTCATGTTACCGATGTTTTAAATAACACGATCCATATTTCACTTAAAATAACTTTATCGCGTTTGTTTTGTTATATCAATCTGCCGTCAGTTTATAATCTTTCGAATTAGATTTTTAACCGAAGAAGTTCGTAATATTTCGGTGACACAGATAAAGTAAAAAGTTACAGAGTGGTGTGGAAATAAAGTATGCAAGGAATTAGATTTAAATGAGAAAGGATGGCTGTGTTTACCGCGCAATAATTAGCAGAATCACGAAAAGGCTACAAATGTGAAAGTGTAATTGTGAGTAAGATGATGAATATATCATATCATTGAGAATGTCGAAAGCATTTAAGGTGGTGTGTTTGCGATTAAGTCCTTTCTTGATAAACAGATTCGTCATTATTATCCTTATGTATTTGCGGAAAAAAGCTAAAGATTGAAGTGTAATTGATTGAAAGCGATATATAGAATATGTATTAAGTGTATGTAACTATATTCTTATTAATCATGTTAAAGTAATTATCACATAATTAAGTAAATCGCCATAAATAGCGATAAAGTGGCGTTCTCGATGGAAATAAATGGAATAAAACTAGGCATTCCTTTTACAACGTTTATATTTTTTCTTACTGTAAAAGCTCAAACTATGATAAATTCTAAGTAATACTAATAACACCTAATTTTTACCAACTATTTATTGTAAAAGTCCCAAAAAACAGCCGATTAACTAGGGGTAAATCTTAAAATTTATATCATATATACTGTGTTTATTGCGTAAAAATACATATGTACCTATAAAAATATGTTTAAAATTTATTTATTAATTATTAAGTTTAAAATTCTACATAATGAAATATTGTTATTGTCGGCTGTTTATTGACATTTTTTGCGTATTTGAAGTAGGTCTTATTTACTAAATGATGTGGTAAACAAAATGTTAGAATAGGTAGTTGGTTAATCTTAGGATTCACCAGAGTTCGGGCTTTTGCAGTAACACATACTGTAATTATCTTGTAGTAATGGAAGGTGATTTGTTTCGCAATTTCGCTCTAACGAAGATCACCACTCCAACTACAACTACCACGCAGCACAAAGCAATTACAATGGGTAGCAGGATGCTAACTAAGTTTAGAGGCATAAGCATTCGATTCTTCAGCTGATCCACGAATTCTTCTGGTAATAGGACACTCTGAAATGTAAAATATCAATGTTTTACAACAAATAAATATATTAAAGTACATAAAATCTTCTTTTAATTGTTGTACCCACTCATATAAGTAATATTTGAATATTCTATTAACTAAAAGCAACGATATTTATAAATTAATCATTACTTCATGACTATTTCATGATGATTACGTCATATTAAAGTGTAAGCAATATGCATAAATTATGTTTTGGTCAGCTAATTAAGTAGAACGAGTTAAATCGCAAGTGCGATAATGCCTAATATAATTAAAACTTGCATTTCTATTGAATACAACAAGATGGTTGTTGACACTTGAAATGGTCCCCAAGACAGTTAAAAAAGGTACAGTCAGATGTAAAAATATATTTAACTGTAAAGTACAGTTTACGTAAAATCTTAAGATTAACCGGAGAAAACTAAGATTTATACGTAAAACCTAATATTTACCCATAACCCCTAAATTTATCAACTATGTATGGTGAAAATCTTAAAAATCATTATGATCTAGGTTTATTTTACCACAACTAGTCGCTATATTTTATATTTTACCGATACATTCACCGGCGATTTTGTAACGTATACGTTTCAATCGCGCTAGCAGTTTGTATACACCTTAGGCTTCAAACTCATATTTGCACGTATTACACAACCACATACATTAATGGTCGGAAATATACGGACGGATACATGCATACATCATTTAAAACCGAAGGTGTATATATATTTCTGCAGCTTTAAAAATGTTTGCAAGAAATATTTATGTAGCTGACTGTACACTGCGAAAATAATGTTTGTGCTGCTTAGAAGTAAGTTTGAAAATTTGCTATGAAGAAACTGTTAGGCAGCTTAGAAATTTCATTTAATTAAATTTGGATTTAAACCCACCTCTTCTAGCCAAACAATAGGTGTTAATGTGTTGTTAAAATTTTCTGTTGCGGTAATTGAAGTAATTGGCCTTAGAAATATATTAAATTGAGCTCTTTTTGCGCCTCTCAAAACTGTTCCTGTGTTCTGAAATAAAAAGTTTTTTTTTTGAGATTTGAAAATACGAATTTAAATTAGCCATGGGCACCCTCGTAATTCAAAATTTTGTTTACGTAATTCTACTATATACAAAATAATAAATATGGATAGTTACAGGTTCTAAATCAAGCAATATCCTGTGATCTTCAATTGATGCATTAATGCCTTTAACACCATTAGCATAAATTGGGTCAGCGTATAAGAAATGCGGATACGTCAGAACCATGGGCCCACCTGTAACAAAACACATATCTTACTAATATTATAAATGCGAATTTTTGGATGGATGGATGGATGTTTCTTTGTAGGTATCTCCGGAACAGCTTAAGGGATCTCGCTGAAATTTGGCATAGATCTAGAACATAGTCTGGAAGAAAACATAGACTACTTATTAAGTTTTTTTTTTAATTCCACGCGGACGGTGTACCGGGCAACAGCTAGTATTTTTATAATATAAGCCCAACATCTTTACGAGGAATTAAATTATGGTAAGTGGATTACAAATATTCTTCAGTTTAAATAATTATGCTAGGTATTGCTAAAGAGCATGTTTTATTTCATCAAGTCCAACTATACAATGAAAATCACTGTACATATGAGACAACTGCTTAATTAAACATAAATTAGTCGATATTATTGAAGATGTACGTAACGTGTATAACGATGTGACATTAATTGGAATACCCACAACATAAGTGCATATAATTGTCTACATGAATGGAGGACATGTGCTACAAAGTGCTACAAAGTGCTTCGATGTTCGGAATACGCTTTGGCCACGTTGTGGTATGTAATGAACGTTCATGGCATACATGTTTTGGGATATATCATGAATGTACCTATATTATATACTAGCGGTTGACTCCAAATTCGTCCGCCCAGAATTTAAAAAAGCTTATAATACGCCCGCCTGCATCAGCTATCTTTCCGTCCAAGTCTCATCACAATTGGTCCAGCCGTTCCGGAGATTACTCGGAACAAACGCGGTCTTGTGAACAGATTTATAGACGGATAAAAATTGGTTTTTGTTATCAGCTACGCAAATACACCGTGTGTATGAAATGTATTTTTTTTCGATATTACGTACAGTCTAATTCTTCGCAAATTAAAAGAAAACGTAACAAATGAAATTAATCAAGTACTCATAACCGAAATAAAGATCCTCTTATGTAAATGAAATTAAGAAACCTTATTTATAAGAGGATTGATTAAATTTACGAAAATAAATTTTATGTTATAAGGCAGTCCAATCTATTCACAGCGTAGGTTGAAAACGTCGGCCCACGTAGAGGGCACCTTGACGTTTCTATGTACGTAGGTTCTCAAAGTATATAAACATACAAGCACAGGAATAATAACCCTGCGATATATTACTTAATATACGGTGTACCGATCAAAAATAGAATTTCATATAGGTGATTATTATTAAAGTCATTGTATTCTTAAATATCAATAAAATATGAAAGTCTGGTGATAAAACATTTAGAAATAAGTCTTTATACAACAACAATATTGACGTCTACTGATAAAACTAAAAATAAATATTAGGGCTGACAAACACGGACTGTTTCAGTCGAGCGTCAATTGGTTGGCGTACTATGAATGTCAATTGTTGATTGTCCAACGCAGATCGTTTAAGACTGTCGATATCGATTCTTAAATTAGTTCGTGTAGGTTGGCTTTTAAATGCACCGGCGTACGCCTCCGTCGGCACGTAGCATTTGGCATTGAATCAACCCCTCGGGTCTCGTTTGGAAATTTCCACTGCGACTTAACCTTTGACCTTACTTTCTCCTTTCTTCCATTATTGTTTACTTGTTTATACAGACTGAAAGCAAAACGTCTGTAAACGTATAAATGTACTAAAGAACATCAATTAAATATATTATTTGTTTAATACGATTTTTTGTACACATATAAAACTTATCCCAAAAATCTCTACCGGGCTCATGAGTACACCAAGAGTTATTAGCCTGAACACTTTACGTGGATAGCTAAAATAGCTTTAAAAACAATTAAATATCGAAGACAAACATTTTTAAAGTATAATAAGAAAAATGTACTTATACAAACATTTCCCCCTTGCTTTTATAACAAAGAGTGACGATGAAGTACGGATTTTGTGATATCTGCATAAATAGTGCGCAAAGAGAAATAAATTCACATCTAAAAAGGTTACTTATGTACCAATAAATAGACATTAGGATTCCCGTGGCGTTTGTTGGAATTTTCCGATAACGTCATTTAATTCTCATTTTCTCGCCCAGCTGTGCGGGTGCTGGAATTAACGTTGATTGAGTGAGATGCTAATGAACAATTATAGGAACAAAAGAAAAGAATACCTGGAAACTCAGATAAATCTTACAACTGGATATGGAATCTGAATTGCTAAGTTAAATTAACTACCAAAATTAATTTACGACATTCAGAAATTATTGTGTAACAATATTATTGATAGTATAAACAAATTTAAATATCTATGCAATGGAAATACAAAGAAAAATACTAGTATATATTTGAGCCTTGATTGAGCAGGTACTGAAGATATTAGTAAAATTTTATGTTTCAGGTCAGTTTTTTCCTCAAAACGAAACAAAGTTAAAGAAGTTTTTGTTTGCTTTGAAAGTATTAAACGGTTTTATGTTTTATACATACATTTAGTTTCTTAAATATTTCCAAACAAAATTCCTTAAAATTAAACAACCTCTGCGTTTAGAAGAAAATGTCTACTCGGAGTAAGGAGACTGATGTGGAATGCAAAGCTCCCGCCTCCCTTCTCAACCTCCCTTCGCTCAGTATCCCCCCCTTTAGCTTATCCGCTGGCTGTTGAAATAATTCCGAGCAACGATGGTTTTCAGATTAATTATTTACACATTTATTTCTAAACGTAAACTTTTTTTGTACACCATACAAATATAAGTATTCCGTTATAATGTTTCAAGTCTATTGTGAACCATTGTTATGTTATTAATTGCGACTCTTAACATTGCATTTCTTGTTCCTGTTCTCGTTAATGTAAATAAAAATATGCCCGTAAGATAACATCATAAAAAAATATTTATTTTCTGTTGTCAAGTTATTGTCTCGTCTAGAGCTTAATTAGTACTTATCTTGTGGCACTAGTATCTAAGACAATAGGCACTTATTACGACAAAATACAAACTTGAAATTTGTTCTATATTTTCCTTTATAAAGATTGTCATTTGTTTTTAATTTTCAGTGTAATAAGACTAACTAGTGGACTGACTATATATCTATATTATATGTTTGTACAGCTCACAGTTTCTGAACCACGGCAGTGTGATCTCTGGATATATATTAATTGATATACCGAAGACCAAGATTCAATACTAAAGGATATAAGCTGTTAATAGATCAATTAAAGTTTACTTTGTCTACATTTGCAGGACGTTAATTAAAGCGCACTAAGCTATTTCGTTGGACTAAGTTGTTTAACAGCTTTGTTTAAATTGTATGAAGTTAACAGAGGGATTCAATTTCTTTGTCTAGAGGAAATTCTATGTTCTGTCTTATTTCTTTGTAAGTTAAACATTTGTAAGTACTAAGTTCATTGTTTCGGAGTAATAATAGAATAAATAGCATTTCTTATTTAGTTTGTTTACATTAAGTGTTAAAATAATTAATATTATTTATGATATATAATCATCGTAGTCAGGAGTAGCGTGAGCGTAAACATATAAAATAATTTGAATGTTAATGTTTTTATGCTTGCTTTGAATTTTAAAATATATACTGTTATATCGCTGCTTGAACTGAGCATGAGAAGGAAATCGATATGTTTGTCAGAGGTAAGACACTACAAGTTTCATAACACACGGCAAGGCCCGTAAGCACTCTGTAAACTTAGTTATGCCTTGAGCTTGAGTTCGAGGAAAATTTCGTAACACCACTGCACCGCTCTGATATTCCTTATTAATTTTCCGTTAGCAGCTTCGAAATATATTCCTCTATTATAAATCCTATATTAACTTGAAGAATTTTCGCCTAGAAAATGCAATAAAACATTTTCATTTCATGCGTTCCTTATACATTTATTTCGCCAAAATAGTGAATAGATAATTAGAAGTTAACATGTATGTCATTTATACATATATTTTATGCTTCCTTTTTACTGTAAACAGTATCACGGATAATTAAATGTTATAATAATGATTACTACTATGATATAAAATGAATCATAGACTCGTCCTATTCCATGTCTATAAGGCTAACGCATTATAAATATTTTATTTCAATTGTTTTCTTTTCTCCCACACATTCAGTTCCAGTTAGATTGATTTGATAAAACAAATAGAAAGAGGTGATAAGTTATCTTTATTAGTTCATATCGCTGTCTCTCGTGTGGGGGAGTAATTATTTTTAATAAAAGTATTAGGAAGAAAGCTGCTGTCCGTAGAAAATGACTTAGTACTTAAACTTTGATCATCAATCAAAACTAAAGACAGGCTGAGCCATTTCAGCAACATTAAAAGCTTATATCATTAGTTGATGCCACAACAATTTTAAGGTATATTTAGAGAAGTTTTCCCATTTTAAAATAACTTTTCCTTGAGAAGAAATATAACTGAATTAACCCTTATGTTCATTTTATATAGTATACATACAACTTTATAAAAATAAACGATCACTATAAAATAATTTTTAACTTTGTTTTTTGCTTTTCTTCAAAAAAGAAATCTTGCCACAATAAGGGTTAATTTAAATAATTTCGAATGCATTTTACGTAAGTCAAGACTTGTGGTACAATGAATAGACTGCATAAGTACTCGTAAGATCTCTCTTGCATAAATTTAGTCATTAATATTTGTATTCAATGCAACATACATATGAATATAGTATGTGTAGAACTATATCCGCTAGTTGAGAACTAGGGTAACACTATTACACCAACAAACCGCACATCTGCTGTTGCAAATGTCAACAGTATAACCATGATTTTTTATAAAATAGGAATATATATTTTTATAAATAATTAAATCACATTTTTATCATTAGACAGTGTAATTAATGTCGCAAAATGTTGGCATAGTCAATAGAAGAGTGGTCTATGTGTTTTAAACAGACTATGCTAGAAGAAATTACTGGATCAAGACAAATTCCAAGGACTTTGCTAAGGAAGAAGAGAAGAATACGAGTGAAACAATTTAAGGTATGTAAGTTCTAACATTAAAAATTTATTTTCAGTTGAATAGATTTTTAAGGTTAAGTTGAAA